TTTTATTTAAAAAGAAAACAGAGAGAACCACTTCTGACTTTCCTTAATAATGAAACACCCCACTGGCCATGCGGTTTAACCTTCAGGACTGGTACCTTGACCCCTGAAATGCTTCGTCTTAGGTTGGCTCACAGATGAGCTTGTTCCTCTGGTCTGAACGGCTGAGTACAGTACTTGAAAACTCTCCCATTTCACTGTGACCCTTATAAGGGTGAGTGGGGTGGGTTTGTACAAAACAAACAAACAAAAAAACGTTTCTAAACTTCAGAACAGTTGTAAGCAGAGAGGGGTGGGTAAGTCTCTGATGGCTGAGAACTCTGAATTTTCTTTCTTTTTATTTAAATCTGTATATTTAGAATGACGATTAAATCTATCTACCAGTCAATGAAATCACCTTGGATCATTCCAGACCTTCTTTTTGTGGTGTTTTAAAGCAGTTCCCGGTCTGTTGTCTCATTTGTGTGCTGAGCTTCCCCCACCCACCCACCGCCCCTTTCCCAGTTCTTTGGCAAAGTTTGTCCCCTCTCTCATGATCAAATGTCTTCCTTCAGCAGCCTTTCTGTCTTTGCTCCAGCTGAAGGAAGTTGAAAGCCCAGGACCCTTGACAAGGCTTGGTTAATCGCATTTATTTAACTGACGAGCAGCCCCTGATCTGTATCGGTGGTGGGTGTTTTTTTTTCTTCTCTCCTCTAGTTGCTCTTCTGTTGTTTTGCTTTGTTTTTGTTTTCTTTTAATGGTTAACTCTGGCGATGTTTACATAAGCGTCGTTAGGAAATGCACAAGACGTTTTGTAAGGTACAGGACAGGTAACTGGAATAAACGACATTCGACTATAGATTTAAAATGCCTTTTATTTTTTAAAAAAAATACACACACAATGATAACGGAACAAGATGTATTTCCAGTGTTTTCGTGCCTGCAGAGTAAGGACCTGGTGTGATTTCTTGGAAGAGATCGCTTCATTGGTTCAGTCTGGGGGCGGGAGTTGATTTTGTGCCACACGTATGCTGCGTTGATACAGGCCCTCGGCATCGTAAGGTGTGGCCGTACCTTTGCTCGTTGGTCAGGTCAGTTTTTTCACCGGTTTTTCAGAGTTGACTCAGGATCTTCAAACCACCCAACAGCTCAGCTGCCCTCCCTTTTCTCAATTCTAGAAGAAGAGCAAACAAACTGTCCATCACTGGGATGCCTTTAATAATAATCATAATCATAAATGTGCCATCAAGTCAGTTTTCTGACTTATGGCGACTCTTTTCAGGGTTTTCCAAGTGGAGAGTATTCAAAAGTGGTTGACTCTTCCCTTCTTCCGGGGTGGGTGGGTGCCCTGGGACTGTGCATTTTGCCCAAGGCTACCCAGGCTGGCTCCACTCACTAGAGGCAAAGTGGGGAATTGAACTCTGGCTCTGCCACCAGGTCCCCAAACCACTGAGCTGCCCACGAACTAACCTTCCGTAGTTCAAATAATTCTTAGGAAGATCTAAATGTCATGTTTCCCTCAAAATCCTGCCCCGGTCCTGGAGAATCCAGTGCTTTGTATATCTCTTATCAAGAAGAAACTGTTTTCTTCTTCGAGGTGATCAGTCGGTTTGCCCTTCCGTGATGGTTTTGTCGTCTCTAGGCCAGCCTCTCCAAAGCAGGTGTTCTTCAGACGCGTTGGACTTCAAATCCCATGACTCTGTAGAGCATGTTGGTGGGGATAATGGGTGAGGTTGGAGAAAGTTGGCCTTAAGGGGACTGTCTTAACTGCGTTTCAAGTGAGGTGTTGTGTGATGGTCTGGGTTGTTGTTGTTTTTTAAACAGGTTTGAATGTAACCCCTTTGGTCAACTCAGTTGTACTGTGTGTGCGCGTACGCTTGTGTTGTGCTCCACTCCCTCTTGTTTTTGCCCACCCACCCATCTGCCTGCCTACCGTTGTGACACCTCCATGGTCTGTACCTTTCTGTTGGATAGCTTATCAGACTGATGTTGACTGTTGGATGTCATAGCAACAACAGTCGGTAGGCTGTCTGACATTTTGGTATCTTTCATCTTGACTGTTTGTGCTCCATCCATCTTCCAGTGGCTTTGGTCCGACGCTCTGCCCCGTGTCCTTACGTGTAGTATGTGTTGAATGGAATGGAAACTCAGAAGCTTTAGTCATAGCCTTTCCTCCACTCAAGGGCAGTCCCCGGCATCCTATGCAGTGTGTCCGGGGAGAATGGTTTCTAAGGCTCTCCCTGCAGGTGTGTGTGTTCCAAAGGGTTGAGAAACCTGGGATGATGTGGAGGGTATATATATATTTTTTTCAAAGACCTTTTCTCCAGGAGGAGAGATAAATTCTTCCATAGTTCAAAGATGTGGAGGAAGCAAATTGACCACAAAGTTTCCATTGACGTGGATCGTCCCGACTTCCACTTCGCAAATAGAAGGGAGCTCCATTCATGGAACGGGACTTTTCCACTTCTCTTTTCCTCTGCAGCCTCAAACCCACCCACCCCCGTGCTCCTTTTGCTCAAGCGGAAGTCTCTTAAAGTCTCACAACGCCCTCATCTTGGGATCCAGGCCTTTGATTTTATTTAAAAAGAAGAAGAAGCAATAACTCACCCTCCCTCCTTCATGTGCATACCTCGAGCTCCACACACTAGATGATTGGTTCCCATGCATACACTCATTCATGTGTGCAACATCATGAAGCAATAACTCACCGTCCCTCCTTCATGTGTATACCTCGAGCTCCAAACACTAGATGATTGGTTCCCATCCATACACTCATTCATGTGTGCAACATCATCTGCTTTAGAAGTTCCTAGATTACCACCACCACCACAATCCACTCTTCTTAGGTCTCCCCATGTTCTGGGCATTTCCACATTTTGATTTATCCGGCGAGCCCTTACCTGCTCTGTGATGGCGAGCCAGAATCCACCAGTCCGTTTTCTTTAGAGACTCCCGTTTGTCCAGTTGGCTTTCCCTCCCTGTAGATCTACCCCATGCCAGTGCTTTTATTCTGTGCCTATTTTTTTAAAAAAAAACTCCCAACATTGTGATTTTAGTGGTGATTGATCTGTTTGCTTTAATGCCTTGACGGTCCATCCGAGGATTTGCGTCTTATGATGTATGTATGACACCAGAATTGCCTCAAGCCACCACTTCTGGTCACATAGGAAACCTGCATTTTTTTTTCCTAGCGGGGAAGGATGTGTGGGTTGAATGTGAAGGCCATCCTATTTTTTTAATTGAGGGTAAAATAACCAAAAATGCAGGAGCAGGTGAGTAGCAGCTGCATGCTGGGAACCTTCCTTCCTTATCTATCTAGCACAGGAGTGAGTAAATGTACTTTCCTATAGGTTGGGTAGAGTCCCAATAGTGGTGGTTGCTGGGAGTTGTAGTCCAAAAGCATCTGGAGGGGTGGCGCCTTGCTCAAACTTGGTCTAGAAGGAGACATTCACACCTTGGCCTGACAACCCTATGAAGCTGTGGTTGACGACATGGAATGGAGGACAGTAGGAGAGGCACACGGCAATAAACACAGACTGATTAAAACCCTTGAAAACAAAGGTTTCTCTTTGTATGAGTACAGTAAATGCTTGGGGAAAATCTTGTATTCTTCACGTCCATTTATGGTATATTACTTAGTGGGCTTAAAAAAAAAATCAAAATCTTGCACAATAACCCGTTTTTCAGTTTCCTGTGTAGATCTCTCTCTCTCTGTGTGTATGTGTGTAGATTACTTTGTTAGGTTCCTCATAAGAGTGAGCTTCTCTTCAGTGCTAGCTCTATGACTCTCGTTGACGTGCCCATTTATGATCTAGCAAAGAGGTGGTCAGGGAATTCTCCTGTGCTGCTTTATGACCAAGTTAATCTGTGAAAGATATTCCCAACTCTTTTTTTAATGAAAAAAAAATGCCTTGTTGGATAGTCAAATAAATAAAGGAAAAAAAATTACATTTTTGGCTGAGAGAGTGATTATTATTACAGGGAAGCTAAATCCTGCAATTTTGATTAAAAAGAACATTGACTACCTTCCCCACTGCATCAGGGATGGTGTGTGCCATTGAGTGAGGTGCAGAGCGTCCCCACATGATGTCCGGGCACATGTGAAGTTCTGCATTTCCTTTTGTTACTGGGTGTTCCCCCCCCCCAGATCCAAATATTCCCATTGTGGGTTGTGATAAGACTATAAGGTGCTCCTATGGAGGAGGTCAAGGACGGTCGGAAGTAACCAGGGAACCTTGGGGGGGGGTAACAGGCGAGGGATAGTCCATGTATAAGGATTCTTGCAGGCTTCAGTGTTGAAAGAGATATCATCACTCCTTGTAACATGAATCACACCGTATGGATTTATTTGCCAACCTAGCACCTGCTTCTCACGATTTCGTATGTGAAACAAAGTGGCCTCTGACCTCAAGGAGCTTACAGTTGACGTCTTCAGTCGGACGCAGGGGTAACACCCAAAGACACAACAGTGTTGTTATAGATACAGTGACCCGAGGTTAGACATTAAAATATGGAACCTCCACGCTTAATGGAAACACGTGGCTTCTAAGGAAGAATGTGAAGGAGAAAGCTTTAAAATTCAGAATAAGTTTGGAAATATATGGTGTCGACAAGGTTTGAAACAGCAGTTGCCTTAAAACCAGCAAAGATGATGACTTCAGAAATCCACATTTCCTCCAGTCTACAAATTCAACTTACGGGCTAGGCCACCTCTGGTTAGAGACACACATTCTTCGAGGCTGTGTTCGCGCACATTCCATATTGCCTTTTTTTTTTTTTTTTTGCGTGTCCCACATTTCCCGGGGAAGAACTATCAAATTCAGTTACTGGAATTCTCTAGGTCTGTTTCTGTTGTAATTTTTTTTTTTTTGGTGGGATATCAGAATCTGCTATGCGTTTCTCATTGTCAAGAAACTCCTAGATGTAGCTGGTAATGAGAGAGGTCGAGATCATTTCAATAGTAGA